CCCCGCCCCCGGCCTCTCGCTGACCCGGTGACCCGACCCGCGGGACCGCGGTTGGTAGCAGGAGGGTTGGGTGCAGGGGCTCCGGGATTGCTGTTACCACCAATTTGGAAGCCGGCCTCGCAGCGGGTGGCGCACTAACACCTGGGCTTCCCCCTTCATCTCGTTCTGTCCTCGTAACGGCGGGTCTCCGCTGGCTCTTGTCTGCAAATCAGTTCACCCGGCAGGACTCAGCTTCTTCACCTTCCAGACGGGAATAATAATCGCAAGTGCCTCCCTATGTTGTGAGGTTGCCAGACAATTAATGAGACCCGTATTTCCTGCACCATATTAGCTCTGTAGATATGAGTGATAATAATAGCAACAATAGGTGCTGGGCCCCAGTGGGGGGGGTGCAGGGCAGCGGATCAATCCGTGATTCTCTCTCATCATTGATGTTTCTCTCGCTCTCTCCCTTCCTCTCTGAAATCAATTTATACATATTGATTTCAGAGATCACTCAAAACCTGTTATTTGCAAATAACTTTCAATGTCCTATAGCAAATCAATGTCAAAGCCAAGACTAAAACCTGAGATCTCTTGATCTCCAGTCTGGGTCTCTTAACACCACACCATAGCCACCATACCCTTCTCTAGAGAATTCTGTCCCCAGTAAAATAATTGTAGGATCCCACAAAGAATAGACACGCAAATGTTATCCAGGGGCCAGCCGCATCTGCGTGGTTTGGCTACCCTGACGAGAGCACCATCATTCCCTTCACTCACCAAACATGGTCAGAACTACAACCCAGTGTGGAGTCAGCTGCTCACTAACTGTGTTCTCATCTCTACAAATGGGTTGATAGGAGATAATGCAAGAAAATCACTTAGCAGAGTACTTGGCACCTAGTAGCAAGGGCTCCGTAAATGTTTGGTGTGGAGGTTGTTTTTGGAAAGGGCCCCCTCTCCCCCCTTCCACATGGGGCAGGCCATGTTTATTAGAATAGTTCACCCAGAGGCGCTTAAAGGTAAACCTGAGTCCATTGAAGCTACTTTCTCAGCCCCAGAAGAGAAGCCATGTCTCAAAGCAAGACTGTTTAGGGTCAGCTCAGTTCCCCTCAACCTGTCTGTCCCCTCCATTTTAATGACTTTCCCCATCTGCCCCTTAGTTTTAATGGGTTTCTGAGCACATGCCCAGGCCATTTGGATTTCTGCATCTTGGCTCTCCCTGCCTCTTAACCCACCAGGAGGCTCGGAGGGAAAAGGCTCCAGTATTCCCTTCCCACTGAGGCTCCTGCTGGACTGGACTGTGCATTAAACAAGATAATGGAAATAGAGAAAGAGGCGTTTTCCCCATGGGGCGGCCTTGTTCGTTTATTTTTTCTCTCCCAGTTATGTAAAAATACATATTTTATACCATCGCTCGGCCCAGGGAGCCGTTAGGGCTTTGTTTTCCTCCGCCCAGCAAGCCCTGGCCTTGGAACTTCGCAGTGACTCTCATCGACTCTTCCATTACACTCTGGTAATTCAATAAAAAGGATTTTAGAAAACAATTAGGGGCAGTGTAGACAGGTCTGGAGAGATGCCGTCTTCAGACTTCTCAGCAAGTCTTTCTCCAAGTTCCACGAAATTGATCACGAAGGGCTGCCCTCTCTCAACTGTTAGAAATAAGGTGAGCCCCCGAAATCAGGGGTCCTGGTAGCATACTCAGGAGGGAGCCAGACAGCAAGGCAAACACCTTCACTCCTGCAGGAGGGTGTGCAGCACGGGTCTGGGAGCACAGCACACTGAGCGGGTGGGCGGTCCACTCAGGCTTTTATCCCTGATGCGCATGATCTGTCCCTCACTCTTGATTGGAAGAGCTTAGGCTCGCAGTCTTGCGTGATTGGCTAATTTAAAGGAAGGGGTTGACCTTTGCCATTTGAAAATGGTGGCCCCCAAGGGAGCTGCAACTCACCTGGGCCAAATTGAAGGCTGCCTAAACTCCCTTCTTTGGCAGAGAAGGTGACTTGTTTCTTCTCACAATACCCCCCTCTTCTTTATTTAACCCTTTTCTTCAAACTCGGCTATAACATGACTTTCATGCTCTGCAGTGTCTAGGAGAAGACTGTTTTGCTGTTTGGTCAATGTGGTTTCCATTAACCTTTAGATAAGACCCCTCATACATGGGATGATATAATATCCACTACTGTCATTCCCTTCCATTCTCCAAACCATCGCTGAATCGCAGAAAGGATCCTCAATCCCAGTCCTCAGCTAACTCATCAGCTAGAGTTGTTAATCCCTGCAGGGCCTTAGTGACGGTCCCGTCTGGAGCTGTGTTGTCGGGGATGAGCGTACAACACTGGTCCCCAACATTAAACTCCTCCTTTTGTGCCAGAATCATATCCACGGCCAATCTATTCTCCGACGTCATCCTGCTGGTGGCATCTAGTAGTTCAGCTATACCTTTAACGGAATCTTGAGTAGAGTTAACAATCCTTTGCTGGTTATAGTAGATGTAATTAATCCAACCCACATTCTTGTTTACAGTGGACCGCCAGCACAGGACAGATTCAAATCCTGCAGCAATCTGATTTCTAGCCGTAAACTCATTTGGCACAAGATTTAGGAATAGTGCCCAATGGGATCTGTGTAAATATGGGGATCCAAGGAGCCCCCTGGACTCTCTCTCCTCTTCCTGGTCTGTCTGTCCTTTGAAAGAGGTTTACGGCCTGCCAAAGTGAAAGGGGTAGCCAATTGTATCAGAGTGCACGTTCCGCTCCAACTGCTGGGCAAGGCCGCCAGCAATGGTCCCTGACAACACCACCAGACACCAGCAAGGGGTATCCACAGCGCAGAATGATGGGCTTCTGAGGATACTCGGCATTTACGCATCCGGATAAATTTCTCATAAACTATGAGCACTGTTCTCCCCCTTGATAGGCAGGAGGTATAGTTTACGTCAGAGGATAGGCGAGATCGTTTTAGGGGGGCGGGTCCTAGCTCTTTAACACTGTTTGATGGGAACAACAGGGCAAGAGTCTTACAAGAAGCGTTTCTCCAGGCGGTTTCCTCCTGGTACAGGGCAAGCACATTTTCCATCCTGTTGCTGCCTGAGGTCCATCCGAATGGGAATGGGACCACTTGGGCCTCTAGCCTTCCGGCAGCGCAAGCATTAACAGTCTCTTTTATTTAGGGCCTGTATACAGAATATTGAGTCCATTCCACCCAGGCATTCGTTCCCTTATATTCTACTTCTATTTGCATGGTGGTGGTGGTGGTCTAGGCCCTAGACTCTAGGGGATCTTGTCCTGTGCCATCTATTCCTAAATCTAGTCCTAGCCAATCCTTTGGCCCAAAGGCTGAAATATCCAAGTCATTCAGGTTATCTGCAACCAATAACTTAACTGGGTAAGCATGATCTGAATTGTGCACATTTCTCCAACCCACATTATAAGCCGCTACAATTTTCCAGATCCCTAAAGCAAATGGAACCCAGTCTCACAGATTTCAGCATTACTTTCAAGGGGCTACATCCTGGCATGGCCGTCCAGGAGACGCTGATGGTCCGCCCTTAACCCATGAGTGATGGGTCCAACCTCGTTCTGCAGTTCGAACAGCAGACTCCACGGTTAGCAAGACAAGGGAGGGTCCTTCCCAGGAGGGTTCCAACGTATTTCCCTCCCAAGTCTTGATTAGAACGAACGTGTCTCCTGGTGGGTGGCAATGGCCCGGAAACTCAAGAGAAGGGCTCTGAGCGGACCACCGGCTCAGTGTGCGTGTGCTCCCAGACCCTGCGCTGCACATCCTCCTGCAGGAGTAAAGGTATTAGCCTTGTTGTCTGGCTCCCGAGCATGCTTTGTGTTCTTCCAGGACCCCTGATTTGGGAGCCTCGCCTTATTTCTAACACGATGGCCTTTGGTCTCAAGCTGGTGGAGGGTTCAAATTCTTGTTCGGCCACTAGCTGGGGGCACCCATAAAATGGGGGTGTTGGTAGCATTTAATTCACAGGTTTTTGCAAGTGCCCTCAAGTTGGCTTTTCCGACTCCTGGCTCAGTACATTCCCTTCCCAGTTCTGAGCCAAATTGTGAGTCCCCAGGAAACCTCTCCACCCCAGGCCCTCCTTTCCCCATCCCGCCCCCACCTTTAAAGTCTCTGAGGCTACCTATGGCCTCAGCTTGGAAAAATGTTCACACTGACTGGTTAGTCTTTTCAACCCTCCCAGGTTCATTTGCATTTTAAAGAGGGCCCTGGAGTGTGCTTCTTTCAAAGAATAGAACCTCAGGAGCAGCTACACTCCACCCAGGGTTGTTAACCTGGTCAGTGGGTGGACTGCGGGGGGTGGGGGGGGGGGCATGGAACCCTGAGATTGTATGCACACTCCTCGGTGCAGGTGGTGAGTTTCATTGCTTTCATAAGCTTCTCAAATGGGGGCAAGAAAAATCGAAACTTTGGAGCTGAGATCTCTTGGAGGGCCTGTCCACTGTACACGGTAAACGTTCAGGCATCAAGAGGGAAAGGAAATGTTGACCAAAAGAGGCCTTGCCAGTGCCCCTCCAGGAGGATGACAGTCCCGACCGCTAGTGCTAACCCAGCGCCCTTGGGGTGACAAACTCCAGGTTCCCTTATTGCAGGCATGTCTCCGAAGGGCTTTCCGCATCCCGTGTCCAGGCGACTGCTCAGCCTGGGGCTAATGATTAATCCCTCTGGCAGTCCTATCCTTTTCATCTCCGGACCAAAGGCAGTAAAATTTGTTCTCAGACTGGGAGGGGCAGCCCTGCCCCAGGCTCTGCTGAGAGGAGATCAACCCCACAGCTACAGAGGAGGAATCCCAGGGAAGCTGGATTTGCTAGGACTGCAGTCAGATCTGGCTCCCGGCAGTGTGGGGAGAGGAGGGTCCATTCTAACGGCTCCTGACACCTCTGCTAACTGGATATTCCCTTCTGCCTCCTGCCAAACTAACAGCCACTTATGTCTGCAAAAAAACACACAACTCACTCCTATTTCAAACACAAAGAAAATAGTCAAATGTATACCATGTATAAAATAATGAAACATCGAGTATCTACCATCTAGCTTCAGCAGTTAGTTTTTGTAACTTTTATAATTTGTAAACTTTGTAATTGCACCAAATCTTGTTGCATCTTTTCACCCTGCATTTTTTAAAAATTAAGACTTAAAAAAAAACAACACAGTGTTAGGTTCACTGCAAATTTGAGGGGAAGATATACAGATTTCCAATATAGCTCTGGCCCATACATATATAGCCTCCCCCCAAGACCAACATTCCCGATCATAGTAGTACATTTGTTAGACTTGATGAACCTACATGGACACATTGGTGTTGTATGCTCTACGGGTTTGGACAAATGTATCTACTACTACAGTATCATACAGAGTCGCTTCACTACCCTAAAAATGCTCTATGCTCCAGCTACCTGTTCGTCCCACCCTCCCTTAACTGCTGGCAACCACTGATTTTTTTTTTTTTTTAATTTTGTTACTCCTCACCTGAGGATATATTTTCCATTGACTTTTAGACAGAGCGGAAGGGAGGGGGAGAGACAGAGAGAGAGAGACATCGATGTGAGTGAGATACATCAGTTGGTTCCCTCCTGCACATGCCCTAACCCGGGCCAGGGGATCAATCCTGCAACCGAGGTACATGTCCTTGACCAGAATTGAATCCAGGACCCTTTAGTCTGCAGGCCGATGCTCCAACCACTGAGCCAAACGGGCGAGGTTTCAACCACTGATCTTACTGTGGCCAGTTTGGCCTTTTCCAGAATGTCATATTGTAGGCTTTTCGGATTGGCTTCTTTCACTTAATAGCATGCATGTAAGTTTCCTCTATGTCTTTTCATGGCTTGATAGCTGATTTCTTTTTAATGCTGCATGATATTCCTTTGTCTGAGTGTATCACAATTTATTTATTCACCTACTAGAGGACATCTTGGTTACTTCCAAAATTCGGCAATTATTAATAAAACTGCTATAAACATCCATGTGCAGGTTTCCATGGGTGTAGGCTTTCAGCTCCTTTGGGTAAATACCAGGGAGCAGGATCGCTGGGTTGTATGGTAAGAGCACGTTTGCTTTTGTAAGATATTGCCACTGTCTTCCACAGTGGCTGCACTGTTTTGCATTTCCACCAACAATGAATGAGAACTCCTGTTGGACCACACCCAAAGCATTTAGTGTGTCAGTGTTTTGGATTTTGGACATCCTTTTTTTTATTATTTTTGTTACAGAGAGGAAGGGAGAGGGAGAAGGATAGAGAATTAGAAACATAGATGAGAAACATTGATCAGCTGCCTCCTGTACACCCCCTATTGGGGATATGCCCGCAACCAAGGTACATGCCCTTGACCGGAATTGAACCTGGGACCCCTCAGTCCGCAGGCTGATGCTCTACCCACTGAGCCAAACCGGTTAGGCTGGACATTCTTTCAGATGGGTAGCCCCCCTTTTTTTGTTTGTTCATTGTTTTATTTCAGAATATTTTAAAGCAAATCCCAAATACCATGTCATTTCCCCTGTAAATATTTCAATCTGCATCTCTGAGAAATACATTTCTTAAACATGACCAACAATACCTAATAAAATTCATAGTAACTCCTCAATATCATCCAATGGCTAGGCCATATTTGGAAAAATAAAAAAGTCTCTTGTATAATTAGCTTGTTTGAATCAGGACCCAAGCATGAGCCACATTGGACTGTTGTGCCTTTTTATATCTATAATGGTCTCCCCAACTCTTTTTGTTCAGCTTTTTTGAGTTATAATTGACAGCATGTATTTAAAGTATATAATGTAGCCGAAACCGGTTTGGCTCAGTGGATAGAGCGTCGGCCTGTGGACTGAAGGGTCCCAGGTTCGATTCCGGTCAAGGGCATGTGCCTGGGTTGCGGGCACATCCCCAGTGGGAGATGTGCAGGAGGCAGCTGATCAATGTTTCTCTCTCATCGATATTTCTAACTCTCTAGCACTCTCCCTTCCTCTCTATAAAAAATCAATAAAATCACACACACACACACACACACCAGATCATTTGTCCTGCCTTTTATATTCGGTCAAATGCATCCTCATGCAGTCATGGAACATGCCCCTCTATCCCGTATGTCACATAAACTGGTACTCAGAACTCGATTTGCTTCAGATTCTATTTTTTCAGGCAAAAATATTTCATCCTGAGTATTCCCCATATTAGAAAAATAGTTCATACTGAGTACTTCCTATTAGAAAGCCAGAAATTGTCCAGCTGACTCTATTAGAATAACTCAGATGCCGCTGGCGTCAGCTCAGCCCTCCATCATCAAGTCCATCATCAGCCTTTCACCCTGTGGGTTTAGCACCATGGGTGGTGGCTGTCCAGGCCCATTCGCTTATTGGGGCAAACAATAAACACTGATTAAGTACCCCTTTGTGGCAGGC